GTATGTTCGACGAAGAAAATGAGCAAACCTTTATTATACGAAAATGAAATGTAGCTACCCAAAATCTGGCCAAGGAATCTATTTAAAAACTCAAAACTTTGATTAATTTTTTTAAAATGACTATTGCACCAAGCTTGAAACTTGAATTAATGCGGTGTGTGGTAAACTGTAGCTTTATAAAAAAACTAGAGGTAGCCGGCCACGCGTTGCTGTTGCTCAGTCTAATAAAACGGAAATATGAAGATCACAGAACATATGTGATTTTATTTGCATTGCACATCTATCCAATTTCATGTAATTTTAATTTGTTTCTAGACTTTTTAGATGGGTGATAACACGAATGAAAAATGTTTCAAATTTTTTAAATACCTTTCGTTTGATACTAAAACTGTAATATTTAACAAATTTTCTTAAATCTTAATTGAATTAAATTTTTTTGAACAGGTGGTAACCCCCTCTAAAAATATTTTCCAAAATTAGCTTTCCTAAACCACTTTATGGTGCCAAACTTTATTGCAACATTTCATTTACCCTATCTATTTATTTGAATAAATTTTTTTATTTCAAACACATGGCAACATTCTTCAAAAACATTTTGGAAATAAAGCTTTCTAAACAAATAAATAAATAAATAATAATACAATTTTGAAACATGTCCAACGCAACTATCTTTTCTAATTTCTCCATTTCAGATGCTTTAAAACTCGGTGAACCGGGAGGCAAGCCAAATATTTTAAGGCCTTTAATGCTCTACAAAAAAAAAAAAAATATGTGGTACGCGAAGGCATACTTTGTAAATGTCATCAGATCTGTATAATTTTTTCGATTTCCAAAAATAACTTTATTTTTTTTGAAATTTTATTTTGAAATTTTTTCGTCATACGAAATGTTTGTTAAGAGGGGCGTTCGTTAAGCTTGCACCTACTGTACTTACATACAATACGCGCATACCAACAAACATGTGTACATCAAATCTGAGACATTCGATTTTATTGTTTATGTTTTGTAATGTTTGTGTGCAATATTTTCAATGCAAATAGTTATATATGTAAGTCTTAAATGCATGCTAAATGCATATAAAATACATAACATATATATATTATATATTATATGTGCTGCTGATAAATCACTACGATGTAGTAATACAAAAAAAAACTGTAAATGCATGCGTCAGACTATTGCCGGTGTATGTATTTTTGGCAGGAATGCAAAGAAATAAAAAAACAGAAAACTGGTAAAATGATTAACGAAACAAGTATTCAAAAATAAAAAAGCTAAGAGAATAAATTTGATCTTTTTATTTCTTTTATATGTACAAAGAAGACACTGCAGAAATTATCTTTATGCATACATTTTTTTGCAGCTGACGACAATTGCCGATTTATTCTGAAACGAAAAAGCTCAAAAGTATGAAACGAGTCAACTGCGGTGAGTAAACACGCTTGCGTTGGAATGAATGTCAAATATAAAATATCAGATAAAAACATGTGTCTAAATATTTGCTCTTATAATGCATGATAAACTAATATTTATATAGTCCCTTTACACATTTAAGCAGAAAAGCAATTAGTTTAAGTGAAAAATGTGCCTCTAAAAACGTTAGAGCTTTCGTTCCAGATATTAAATTGCGTTGAAAGCTGTGTAGATTGCTTTGCATTTATAAGGGAAGGAATATTTTACTGGTTAAAATTTTTTATACTTCCTACTTTTTTCCCTCGAAATATTCGGCGACCAAACTTCATATGCCAAAAAAAAAATAATAATCTATTCGGGGTTTTAATAAATGTACGGTTACTTCCAAAATTGAGCGTACGGGTCTTTTTTTTTGTTAATATTCGCGATGTTTTACATGCTAAAACCTTTTTTGCTAATTTTATTTTAAAATATGGCCTATGTTTTAGCAAATCCCATTTAAATCCAAGAATGATACGATGTGAAAAATTAAGAAAAAGCTGCAAAGTTTCAGCAAAATCGCGAACTTTTTAATACGAATTTATAAAAAAGACTCATGTATGCAGTGTTATAGCCCATTAAATTTTAGTATAAGAATGTGCAAATTTCAGATGTCTAGAAACTCGCGTTGATTTTTGAGATTTTTTTTGCTGGCTGTCCTACGCATTTTTTTTATACAAAAAAAACCTGAAAATTTTTTATATGGAAAATTTACTCAAAAACGAAAAAAAATATAAAAAAGAAAAGAAATTGCTATGCGGCGCTAGGGTCCGATTTTGGTTCCCTCGATTTGTGCCTGCCTGTGCTTTCCCCATTTGGCCATGGTGACTGTTGGAGCGACGCCAGCTAAATGATATACAAGTGATTTCTCTCAAAACAGATTTTCACCACGAGTGGTTTATAAGAAAGCTTTTTTTCTATGACTTTTGGGCTTACAAATTACGATCTGCATAATCCTGTAGCATTACAGTGGAAACACAATGCCGGCGAACGGCGAACTCACCACAGCGAAATTACCGCTGTCAAAATTAGAACTTCCCTCGGCGGCGTTTCGTGGCGATAGATTTATTTCTATCGCTCTGCTGGGCGATGGCGGCAGTACATGCCAAAGGTGGCCGTATGTTTTTTTACTTTCAAAAATTTAAAAGAAAACAGCATGTGACACGAATTATTTTTGATGGTTGAAAAATACAGTGATCGACTCGTTAAATCTGGCTTAAAATAAAATAATTTATAATAATTCCCCCTTGCCTTATATTTATATTTGTTATCATTTCTAAATATGGTCTCGTTTTACAAAATATGGTCACCTAGCTTATAAGTGCGACGAAATGGTATCAGCTGTTTTCGCTACCGCTCTAATTCTGTTAAAGTAAACGAAATAGCAGGGCGAACGGTGAACGACGGCATCGCCCAATTCGGCGAACTTCGCCGTTCGCCGGGTATTGTGTTTCAGGCATTACGTGGATTGAGGTTAAGCTTTTCCACATTCCAGTATTCAGATATAAAAAATGAAAATGTTTTACCTAGTTTGATTTTTCATAAAATAAATAGATAGTTAGAATTTTTGGTTTCTGAAGTTAAAATCCAGAAAAATCAAGATTTCGAAACATAATCCTAAAAATAAAAAAGGAAGAAACTATGTTTTTTTTTATAAAAATGAAATCGTCTCCCAAATTAACGCTAAATAGTCGCAACTTTTCGGAAAGCCTGGTGTGTGGGGATCGCCATTGTCTGCCAAGAGCCGACCGATTTTAGAACAAATGTTTCTATAATCCTTGGGTGTTTCGCATCGAAATTTGTAAGACTCTGAGGGAAAGTTGCGCTCTACAATAACTCGCCGTTTATTTTGCCCCTTTTGCCTAAATAACTGGTCACTGGTATCTGAACGCGTCGGTTATTCGTTCAACTTCATCAACCAACGATAGAAAGTTTTGTCGTAAGTTTATGACGATAGTGCGATTTACAGATGGAGCTGGTCATTTAAGCACAAGAGGTATGAATTGACTTATGCCACTTTTAAAATAAATGGCTCCTAAAATAAATGGCTCCTAATGCACATTTACATATATGGAAGTCAGTATTATTTTTGTTTTTTTGTTAAAAAAAAAATTCATATTTACTTAAGTATTTATGCAAGGCGAATTCATACAAGGTTATAGCGGCAGCACAAAACCCAATAACTAGACTAAAAAATTATATGCACAATGATAATCAGAACACAACAAATTTACAAAAAAAATACACCTCATTTTGACAATCGCCGTAATTTGCCTTGAAATCAGCTGCTGCGGTAACCACCACCTTGTATGAATTCGCTTTGTATGAATGTTGTATGCACCTATGGCATTTACATGATTTCATCGCTGACTGGCCGAGTTATGAATGAATGCACATTGTTTCCATTTTTATCAACCAACTGGCTTTTACAACAAAATTACAATTAACTGCGTTCAAACACACACACACAAGCAATATTAAATGAGTAAATGAGTCGTAATTGCAATTTTAGTGCTTGTTTATATGTATGTATAAATTTTTGTGTTCTTTTTTTTCATTTTACAACAAAGTAACTTGCAACATTGCACTGACCTCCAATACACAATCGCCCGCCTTCAGCCCGCTCATTTCCGCCGCCGTATGTGCATCAACCGCGCTCACCTAATGCCAATGGAAAAAGAGAATAAACGCATGAATGCATAGAGAAACTAATAAATGGCAAAAAATTATGAAATCATATAGCACCTTTTTTTAGTTTTTTTTTTTAACTATTTAGAAGGAAGCAAACTATTTTTAACAAACTGATTGTCAGCGAAATGAGAAATGAATATTCGCTAGTTAGGCAAAAGAAATAAATGAAAACGCTTTGTGTGAGAAAATGTTGAGTTGCGAGCTTTAGAAATTAGCAGAAAACCAAAGTTTTTAAAATAACGCATAGTAAAATCCATATTATTAAGTAATATGTGGTAGAAATATAAACTTTTCTGCTACATAAAGGTTTTGCAAAAATTTCTAAACTTTGCTTAAAGAAAAATTTTGATGCTTAAAATTTAGTGCATACGCTCAAAATATTAACAGAAAGCTCATGCGCGAGTACGTAAATAGCGTGCTCATCAAACTGTACGACAGTCACATATGCATTAACAATATTGAGTATTTATTTTATTATTTTTTTAATTTTAACTATTTTTTTATAAAAACATATATTTTTTTCTTTAGCAAAACTCGTATTAAGCTAACTTTCAATCTTTTTGAAATATCAAAAAAAAACTAGAAACTTTTGTAAAAATTTCGAGCTTTTTTAATTAGATTTCTCAGAAAGGCTTTGAGAACGCAGTTTTTTAGCTGATTCAATTTAGTATAACGAAGTGCATGTTTGAAGTACCTAGGAAGTACCGTTGATATTTGGATTTTTGTACTGTTGGAGGTGTTGCCCTTGCACAAAGATTGAAACTTGCCTTTTTGCGTTTTTTTTTTAAGAATAAGTTATATCTCTACTAGTTTGTCTTCACCCGCGTNAGTTTGAAGTAGCTAGGAAGTACCGTTGATATTTGGATTTTTGTACTGTTGGAGGTGTTGCCCTTGCACAAAGATTGAAACTTGCCTTTTTGCGTTTTTTTTTAAGAATAAGTTATATCTCTACTAGTTTGTCTTCACCCGCGTTACTGTATTGTATCAAATTTCTGCGTGTTACCTTAGGTGTCATTTATATCAATTAAACTTAACCTATTTAAACTCAAAAAGAGCAAACAAGATTTGCACATTCGGCTTTTTCCTAACACCTTCCAAATATTTTTAAAAGAAAATCTTCTTAAATCTTATTTATTTTACACACATTTTATTAAATTCTTTTAATGCAAGTCAAATTTAATTTTTTAAACTGGTGGCAACCCTCCGCCAATGCCATCAAATCCGCACCGTTCGTTCGATTTTCAAATTAAAAGCCTTGGACTGCAGATGTGCAATAAGGTTTTACTTTTTTGAAAAAAGTTGGCAACTTTTAAAAAATTGTATTGAAATTATTTAAAAAATAAATCAATTATTACCAACTGGGTATCAATCGAAATCATTTTGAAAAGCTTTGTTTCCTAGCTGAACTATAATAGGGTTGCCAATTGTTTAAAAATCATATTAGGTAAGATAAATATGTATCACCATANATCATTTTGAAAAGCTTTGTTTCCTAGCTGAACTATAATAGGGTTGCCAATTGTTTAAAAATCATATTAGGTAAGATAAATATGTATCACCATATGGGTGCCAAACAAAAGGGGTTTTAGAAAGTAGTAGTTTGAAAATATTTTGAAGGGGGTTGCCACTTGCCTGAAATGTCGAATTTAGTTAACTTATACTCAAGTTGTATAAACATGGATGTCAAACGAAAGAGTGTTAAGAAATCTTTATTTGCAACGCCAAGAATATTTTTGAGGTATTAGAAGAGGTTTGCCACCTGTTTAGAAAGTTAAATCCAAATTATTTCATATGTTAAACGAATTTTTAAAACAAGGGTATCAATCGAAGGGAGCTTCAAAAGTTTTGATATCTGAACTGTATTTAGCGGGATTGCCACATGTTTGAAAATTAAAATTCCACTTAATTCATCAGTTAATGAAATATGTATCGAAGTGTTCGGCCAAGGAGAATTAATATTGATTAAGCTTGAAAATACTTTTGAAGGGGGCTGCCACCTGTTTGAAAGGTCCAAATCAATTAATCACGTGTTCAAAAAGTAACATTCAAATTATTTAGTAAGTTGGATGATTTACTAAAAGATGGCTATAAAGCGTGATGGAGACCTTAGCCTGTAGATGTATGCTATAGTTATATTTTTTTAAATTAGGAACTTTTTTCATCGGTATAGGGTGATTTTAAATTTGATGAAAATAAAACCATTCACTATGCGAGACTACTCTTCACTCAGAAACGGTTGCAAGGTTTTGATGAAATACGGCAATCAGATCTCTTATAATTTTGACTAATATTTGGAATATTATTTAAGTTTTTGAAATTAAATTTTGGGCGTTTTAACGCCATGCGGCTTCACTAGTTGTAATAATTCATTTAACGTATTAAATAACTTGTTGGCAACCCTCTTCAAACAACTCAAAAAATTCTAAATGTTCAAGCCTAAGATTTCTTAACACTTTTTCGTTCGACACGTAAGCTTGTGTATAATTTAGTTAAATTTGACTTTTCAGACAATGGCAAGTGGCAATTGTCTTCAAAATATTTTAGAAATACAACCATCTAAATCCGCTTTTATCTGACACCCACCCTTAATTCAAGTTGAATTTGACCATTTTTAACAGGTAGACAGTTTAAAACTGATATCGATTATGACCCATATTGCAATAATTCATTTTCCTTATAATATAATCTGAATTTAACTCGTTAAATAGTTGGCAACCCTGTTCATATTTTTTTCAAACTAGAGCCCCTTTAAACTTCTTTCGTTATATTCTCACCAGTACTAAACCGCAAATACTTCCATAGGCATGCGGTATGAAAAATTTCCGTTTGTATGGGAGGGGCCACGCCCCCTTATCTAATCGAGATTAAAGCTACTCTATATTTTAAGTTGCGCCAAATTACACCAGTGCACAAAATTCCTTAATGTTCCGTTGAGTAGTTAAAACGTGAAAGCGTAACAAACAAACAAACTTACTCTCGCCTTTATAAAATTAGTAAGGAAGGATTAAAAAATAATCACAATTAAAACATAATAAAGTAAATAGTCAAAACTTGTTAATATTTATGTGAGTCTCTTATTGTTATGATAACCTCTGTGCACACTAGTCGCTTTCTAGTTAATATGTAGCTGAAGTTACTCATACGCACCCACGGATAGGGATCCCATTTGGTGCGCGTCAAATGGAAGCCGCACGAACCGGTTATGGTTTTTCGTATGCATAACAAGCGCACCGATGGATCATAATGTTCGTAGTTGTAGTCAGAATCTAGCGCATTTCCAGCGTTTCGCGGAAGTGCTCGCTTCACATCCTCGGCGGCTATAATTTGCGGTTCTTTTGTACAGCTCATATTCAACGAAACGTCGTTAAGTTCTCGCCGGAAGTGGGAGCCTATTATTATTCCCTTATAATTTTGCTGCATATCGCCGAATTTTCGAAAATCAGTCGCACATTTAGTTCTCATTTCGAATAATTTTCTGTTGTTATGAACTAAGATATAATTATCACATCAGCATCCGCAATATTCAACGTATTGTACCCAGCCGCGGCGGCGTTCATTTTCTACTGACTATTCACTGGCCAACAGATCGTTCCAAGCCGGTGCTAGCGTTCGTGGTTTATGTAAAATACATACATAAAAATGGTTAATTGGTAATAATTTGATAGCGCGCTCGCTCGCATCGCTGTGCTCCAGGTATTTTCATGTACCTGAGCAGTGTGGCCGTTTTAGCCCTTTGGTGGCTAGATTTAGCTACCACATACTTTTTTGGCCACATAAATTTAAAATTGTCCCTAGCCCTTTTTTTAGACCTTTGGAGAATTTATTCATACTTGGCATGAAAAAGTGGTATACATATGTTTAATTTAATCTCATTTTTTTCATTTATGTAGAGATGAATTTTTAAACTATGAAAGACTGATATATACATATAAATATATGTATTGTATGTTCCTTACGTTGTCTTACGTTGTTATTTATGCTTAATTTGTTAAATGGCCCATCAAGTCGATTGACCGTGTATGTTCTTGTGGTGTGATTGTACCAGCCGCTGGTGCGACTTCAGAAGCAATTTATTTGAAAATTTTATGATTAATTAGCTCATAGCTCATAACAATTATTTTGGCGGAAATTTCTAGCACTATCTGAGTCAAAGCCGTGTTTGTGGAAGATTAAGTTCTCGATATTGCAGTTGTGAATTAAAAAAAAAAACAATCTTTAACAAAATGGTAGAAAAATTATGAAATTTCGGCTCTAGTCATTTCTATCTTTCTTGGACCCCATTTTTAAAGAAATAAATATTGTACCAACATGCTGGTGAGTTATGTGCTTCGAGCCTGATGCTACAATCACTTGAAGGAGCCAGCAAGCTGGTGTCGTATATTTCCCCTTTTATACAAAAAGGTTTTTGGTTGGATAAAATACTAGCTTTTTTCCAGAGTTCATTGTTTTTTGTAAGTAAAAAATTTTAGCTACCATTTTTTTAGTCACAACGGCTTTCTTTTTAGCTCTTTTTAGCCCTTTTTTAAAAGGAATTTGGCTACCACTAAAACAGATTCGCGGCAACACTGTATCTGAGTCACAAATCTGTGGAGTTGATGCGAGAGTAGTTAAGCTGAGTACCTATATGTTTTTGTTTGATGAGCACATGTTTATTTAATTCTCAATTTGCATACAAGCATTGTTTAGCGATAACAAAAGATACATTCGTCATTGCATGTATGAGTTACAAGATTATATGTATGTATGCATATGCACATGTATGTGTGCACTCGAAGTGTTAGCTCATTTGAGAGACTTGAGGTTTTTGTAGCTAGCCAACAATTTTTATGCAATCTAGGCCAAAGTGCGGCCATAAAAAAAATCATTTGAAGTGCGCGTTGGACAGGTTTAGGTAATAATTATAATAATCACCGGTTTATTAGATTTACAATTTTATCAAGGGCATTAGGGTTCTCGCTGCTATACAAAAGACTACCTGGCATAAGATGAAGAATTTTTTCCAAAGCTTTTTGGGCTGTGATCAAGGTTTATCTATATACATATATAATACGCGAAGGCATTTTTTGTTCCGCTTAAAAAGATCTGCACAGTTCGTTCGATTTTCAAAAATGGGGTAACAAATTAGAGCGCTTGGCATGTTTTATTTTTTCCAAAAGAGGTGCCACCTGTTGAACAATTACTATCAAATTCTTGTATAATCAATACCATCAAATCCGTACCGTTCGTTCAATTTTCAAAAGTGAGGTGTTAAATTAAAGGGCTCGGGCTGTAGATGTACAATAATGATTTATTTTTTTTTTTTGGAAAGAGTTACCAACTTTTAAGAACTTATCAATATTCAAATTATTTCAAAAAATGTATCAATTGTTCAAAATGGGTATTAATCAAAATGGTTTTGAACAGCTCAGAATTGTTTAAAAAATCATATCAGGTAAGACAAATATGTATAACCATATGGGTGCTGAACGGAAGAGATTTCAGAAATTAGCGTATAATAATAATGGGAGGAGGGTTGCCACCTACTTAAAATGTCGAGTTTAGTTTACTTATACCTACACATGTTGTACAAAATATAAAAATATGGAATTCAAGTGAAGGAGTGTTAAGAAATCTTTGGTTTGAACCCTAAGAATATTTTTGAGGTATTGGAAGAGGATTGCCACCTGTTTGAAAAGTTAAATTAAAATTAGTTTACAAGTTAAATGAATTATTAAAATATGGGTATCAATCGAAGGGGGTTTGATTTTATTTTTTTTTGTGAACTGTATTTAGCGGCGTTGCCACATGTTTGAAAATTAAAATTAATTAATTAATTAAAGTTAATCGCAGTCCGGCGAATGAGAGTTAACAAGGATTAAGCTTGAAAATACTTTTGAAGAGGGCTGCCACCTGTTTGAAAGGTCTAACTCAATTAACTAATTCAAAAATATATTAAATATAAAAATACCGTAGTCAAACGAAAGAATGTTAAGAAATTCTTTGTTTGAACATTTCGAATGTTTGAAAAGAGTTGCCAAGTGTTTAAAAAGTTACATTCAAATTCTTTAGTAAGTTGTGTAAGTTATTAAAAGATGGGTATACATCGAAATGGGTTTAAAAGGGATTTAATACTGACCTTTTTTAGACGGGTTGCCATTTCTTCGAACTACCAAATTTGAATTAGTTCATCAGTTTATTGAAATACATAGCTATCACAATGTCAGAAGTTTTAGTTTGAGAATAATTTTGGAAAGAATTTAAAAAATGAGAGGTCAACTTGGAGACCTTAGATATTTCATAAATTCATATTTGAGCGTGCAATGTTAATAGCAAAGTGTGATTCTTGGTTTTTTTGAGGGAGGGCTCTACTACTTAAACTCGACATTTTGGGTGGTGTTAATACTGGATGTTAAAATGTAAAAGTTTTTCTTATTTTTCTTTTTCTTGGTTGGTTGGTTGGTTGGTGCTGTAACCGCTTTAGCAATTTAGGCGATTGTAAATAAACGCCATTCGTTAATGAAATGTACTTCCTCGTCAGCTTGGCTTTTTTTATTCTTCTTCCTTTTGCTTTGTGTTAACTTTTATTGGAAATAAATTTTACGTGGCAAGTCTCAGCTCACGGTCATTTGAAAAGTATCCACATATATGTATATAACGAGCCGCTTGAATTGAGTTCACAGAAGTGATCCAACTGAAGATCCCTATCTCTCTAACGTAACTCAAGGCCCATGAGCTACTCACGTTGCTTAGAGTGCGTGAACGAGCATATAAGTTTATATCCCAAGAAGATTGAACGGCCCCATTACTCTATTTAAGATGCTTTTACTTGTGCGCCTAATATCTTTTTGAATTCTCGATTGGGCCTGGGTTCGAGCTTTAATCGGGTCTACACACAGTGCCGCCTAAGTGGTCAAAAATCGAAAAATGTATTGTCTGCAATGTGAACGTGTTTGGTATTTTGAAAGGTAATTTACCCACTAAAAGGAATCAAAAAGAAATTTCCCTATAAAATAAATTGTATGCCGCCAGCGAGCCACTAAAGTCGACCAATTCTATACCAAGAATACTAATAAGAGTATAGCCATGCGTAAGCTCTTCATGGAAACAAATGTCAAAAATACATTATATGAATAAAATTAAACGCAGGGTGTCCCTGCGGTCTTCCAGAAAAAAAATTTTTTTTAATAAAAGTCTCAAAAAATGGTAAATTTTATTGGAATGAATAAAAAATATATGTAAAAAAATATTATTTTTTATATTTTTTTTATTAAATAGTACGGGTTTGTAGCTTTCGAAAGAAGAAATAAAAACTTGCTTATTTTTTCCCCTTTTTGAAGTAATGCGTTTTTTGCTAATGCATAAAATAATTTTTTTCATTTTTGTCAATGCTATTATATCTGCACATTCGTTCTATTTTCAAAAATGAAGTGTCAAATTAAAAAGCTTGCCCTGTGACAATAGATTTTTTTAACAGTTGCCACCTGTTAAAAAATGAAATACAATTTTTTTATTAAGTTAAATTAATTATTAAGAGATGGGTATCAATCGAAATGTATATGAAAAGGGTTTATTTTTAAACTACATGAAGAGGGTTCCTAACTGTTTAAAAAATCAAATTCCATTTGAATTAAAGGAGTTAGGTAATTTAAATGGATAGCTATCACCATATGGGAGTCAGACGAAATAGGTTTAAAAAGGGTTTAGCTTGCAAATATTACGAGGAGGGTTGCCACCTGTTCATAAATTAAAACTTAGTTCAACTAAAGTAATAATTGTGTCAAACCAAAGATTTACGACATCCTATTTGTTATTTTATTACACATACATACATTGCCAATCGGTGATTTGTTCTGATTACATTCCTTTTAAATTACTGGACTCATAAATTAACCCAGGTATGTTTTACTATTCACTTATTTCTTGATAAATGTGTCCAATTTTTTCTTTTGTCTGATACCCATATTGAGGCACATATTTATGTTACCTTATGCACTTAATTAAAGTTTATTTGATTTTTTAAACATGTGGCATCCCTTCTACGTGTCTACGTTAGAAATAAAGAATTTGTAAAACCATTTCAAATTGATACCCATATTGTAATATTAAATTAATTTAGCTTATTAGACATTTGTAATAAAATTTGGAATAGGTGGCAACCCTTTTGCATTTGACACCTCACTTTTGAAAATATAATCAACTATATGTACATGCCACAAGAACCCAAATTGTCAACTTCAAACTGCAAAACAAATTGCATTTTTGAATTTAACGTCCTCAATTTGACTAAGAGGCGAATTGTGATTAAAATCTGTCCATAATTTTATTTTTGCCGACATTTTATATGGAAGAGCGCCATATGCTACGTCCAGAAATAATAGAAAAAGTTTATTAAAAATTTCAGGGAGTATTTTTATCATGAAAAACCTCTCAAGCAAACCGGTGCTTCAATAATTAAATGCTTATCTCAAATATTTCCGCTTTCAACTCTCCTGAATGCCATAGCTGTGTCACGGAGAATTCACAAGATTTTACCAATAAGAATGCTATGATTTATAAACACAAATATA